ACAGGTTGGCAAATCAAAAGAGTTTAACAATAACAGGTAACGTGCTCACACTACCTGCCTGATACCTTTCCAAATAGTTGTACTTTAGCTAAATTGTCTGAACCCTCACAGCAACTCCATGGGGGTAGATACTGTTGTCCCCATACTGCAGACGAGGAAGCAGCCTCCCCCAACCCGTAAGGGCTGGTCTGTGGGCTGACAGCGAAGGCTTCTATACGGAATACTTAGTTAAGCACTCACTTAGTGGCACTGCTTCTTGTGGTCATCTTGAGGACTAGCCAACGCGGCCTTTGCCTTCACGAGGTTCTGGGACCTCGTAGTCACCGCTGAAAACCATCAGTCAGGCCCAGGTGCTGAGGGAACGCCTTCCGCTGAGGCCGGAAGGGAAGTGGATTTTCTTTTTCAGCTTACAGTAAGACATTCAAGCAGTATTGGTGCAAGTCTAAGAGTAAAAAGATTCCTCCACGTGCCTGTCAGCTCAGTGTTGGTCACATAGCAGGAGCAGCTGACTGCACAGCTCAACTCAGGATTTTGGAGAGAAACGAGAGATGCTTTTTGTAGATGTCAGCTATGACCACTTTCCTATCTACCTCCCAGAGAGTGCCCATGGCAGCCACTGTGAGTGAATACTTCCAGACTGTCAGGTTCAAACCCAGACTCTGCCACTTAGCCATGCAACCTTGGGCAGGTCACCTTTTCGTACCTCAGTCGCCCCCTCTGTAAGATGGTAGCAGTAGAATGTTCCTCTGATCTGTGGGAATTAAATGAATTCATACATACTTCGAGTAGAAATTGCCCAATGTTAGCTGCTATTATGCATGTTCACAAAATAACTACTTTTCTGCATTTCGCTTTTTCTCACCGTGTCTTGAAATCCTCGTCAGTTCAAATTTGGAACTAGCCTGCTGGAGGCCGTACAGTTTGCAGGTGGCAGTGGTCTAGCTGAGGGCCTCATCGCCAGACCCTCTGAACCTCGGCTCTGCTAAGCTGCAGACAGTTGGCACCGGGGCTCCAAGAGTGAAGTCCACACAGGTGACTTCAGGTGTGTCCTTTCTCTCTGAATAGCTGATCCCTTTGCTTTCCTAGGTGCCCTTTGGACTTTGCTAACAAAATGCAGCCTTCTCTAGCCTTGACTGTCCCTGGGTCTCTGCCTCGTTCCCTCCAGCCTGGATTGGTAGGGTGGAATTACCCACTTTGAGTCCTAAAAAATGGTGGGTTTGGGTCGCTCTCTCTTTCTTGCCTTCTGAGACGGCCCCACTCTGTCTATGGAGTGTGTATCCACCTTTACTTTAACCAACATCCCCCCTGCCCCGTGTACATCTGTCTACATAAATCTACTTTTACTCAAAAAAACAAAAAACAAACAAAGTAGATTTGGTTCTATTAAAAAGAAGAGACAGAAGTTCTGTTTCTGGTGTGGTGGGCTAAGTTTTTAATAGACAAACCTCCCTGCAAACATCTATATAGATAAAATATTACCCCCACAAAAAACCCCCAAAACTACTGGAAGGCTCTGGAGATTGAGTAAAAGCAACTACTACCCCCTAGAAAACAAAAACAAAAACTATTGGACAGCTCTGGAGATTGAACAAAAGCATGTAGATTCCAGAGGGGAAATCAGAAGTTACAAGAGCCCAGCACAGGATGAGTTTTCCATGTGTGTGTGTGTGTGTGTGTGTGTGTTTGCTTTTTTGTTTGTCTTGCCTGAGCTGAAGCCTGAGAGAAGGCTACGGCCCCTAGCACTGCACCAGGCAGCTCAAACTCAGGTAGAAAACCAGCTGTCTCATTGGCCTCAAGAACCAGAGGACAGAGCCCGGAGTAACCACAGCTGCTGGAAGGGAGAGCCCCAGGAAAGGGAAACTGCAGGTTATGTGGATAAATCCGGCCCAAGTCTCACGCTCACCTTTGGTCTATGAATTCATGGGGCAGACTAAGCAGGACCGAAGTGAACTGGATCTGAGCTGTCACCCTCTGCCTCAGTTTGGATCTAACAAATATAAATATCTCCTGAAACAACATTTACATCCTTTGGAGGAATATCACCGAATCCAGAATGTCTGCAACATAATGTAATGTCCAGGATAACAAAAAAAAAAAAAAAAAAAAAGTACCACCTAGGATATGATCCCAAATTACCTCGTGTCAGGGAAATGTGACCCATTCTCAAGGGATAAGACAAGATGACCAAGAGAACCCAAGGGTTGAAATGAGCAGACAAGAACTTTCAAGTAGTTATTACAACTATGCTCACTGAAGTAAAGGAACATGTATGGTGATGATGGAAAATAGGAAGGCTCAGCAGAGAAACAGAAGATATTAAAGAACCAAATGGATGTTCAAGACTGAAAAATACAGTATCTGCAATTTTAAAAAATTCACTGATACACCTAGTAGCAGAAAGGAGATGACGGAGAAAAGGTTCCATGCGTTGGAAACAGATTCATAGAAATTACCTAGTCTGAAAAGGAGAAACTTTTTTTAAGGGACTTGTGGGACACTTGCAAAAGGTGTAATATATGTGTGACTGGAGCCCCGGAAGGAGATGAGAGAGAATGGGGAAGAAGAAATATTTGAGTAAATAATGGCCTAAAACTTCTAAAGTTTGGTGAAAGATATTAATTTACAGACTTGAAAAGCTCAGTGAATCCCAAACAGGATAAATATGAAGAAAACTGTCCCTAGACATTTCAGAGCCAATATGAAAACTAAAAATGAAGGAAAAATCTTGAAAGCAGCCTGACAAAAAGAACGCATTACAAAGAGGAACTATGGTTCAAATGGTCCTAGATTTCTCATCAGAAACTGTGGAAGCCAGGAGACAATGATGTTTAAAATGCTGAAAGAAAACTGTCAACCCCAGAATTCTATAACCAGTAAAAATAGATATTTTCAGATAAAACTAAGGGAGTCTGTCGCCAGCAGAAATACACTGTAAGAATTGCTAATGGAAGTTCTTCAGGCTTAAGGGAAGTTATCCCAGGAGAAGCTTGGAACTTCAGAATACACAGAAGAGCAATGGAAATGGTAAGTAAATAGGGTATTTAAGGGTATTTTTTCTCAATTTATTTGAAATACATATGACTGTTTAAAGCAGAAGTTAATATGTGTCTCATGGAATTGTAACCTGTGTAGATGTGATCCCTGTGACAACTGCAGCATGAAACGATGGGGTGGAGGGAGGGGTCACCGGCGCTGTGCAGTGGCAGACTTGCGACAGTGCTCATTCTACATAGGTAAGGATACATTTGTAATCCCTAGAGCGGTACTGAATAAAGGCTGAAACACCAGAAGATAATTTTTAAGGAATTCTTTTGTTTTTTCCCTTACTCAGCTGAAAGGGTTTCTTATTTTTTTTTCCCCTTGGTTTCTTTTTCTTTTCTTTCTTTCTTTCTTTTTTGGTGGGGGGAGATAATTTTATATATTTATTTATTTATTTTAAACAGAGGTACTGGGGATTGAACCCAGAACTTTGTACATGCTAAGCATGCACTCTACCACTGAACTATGCCTTCCCCCCAAGAGAATTCTTAAAAAGTATTCAAATAATCCAAGAGAAGGCAGGAGAGAGGACATAGGAACAAAAAACAGGACAAACAGAAAATAATAAAACGGTAGACCTAATCTAACCATATCAATAGTCCAAGAACTGTTCCTGGACAGGGGAGGCTGCTGGTCGCACAAGGAAGCGTCCTCTCCAGGGGCATAGCCTGGACTACAGTAAGGACCAAGCAGAGCTTTGCTGTGGGACATCGGGGTGGGAACACCCCCTGTGGGGCCTTGCACCCTGTGCACAAGTATTTAAACATGAAGAAGAATAAAGAAGAGGATGGCATGTAATGAACACCTAGTACCCACCATCATTCTGCTACTTGCTCTTTTTACTCACCATTACTGGTCCTGTATCATACTGATGTAGGTCTAGTTCATTCCAGTTGACTTGTCTATTCTATTGTATGATGGGCAGACTGTTTTTGGTTTTTTGTTTGTTATTTGGGGGTAATTAGGTTATGTATTTATTTTTATTGGAGGCACTGGGGATTGAACTCAGCACCTCGAGCATGGTAAGCATGTGCTCTACCACTGAGCTATATCCTTCCCCCACCCCCACCCCCACCTCCTGGGCAGACTTGATTTACTCTTCTAACTGCTGCTGGTACTTAGATGGTTGTTTTGTGCGTTGTCAACACTTGGACACGTGTCCACACTCACTTCTAAGGAAGACACTCAGGAAGGCACTTGCTGCCATAGGTATGTACATCCTCAGCTTGACAAGGCTTGGCCAAGTTTCTCTCCAAAGTGATGGTTCCTGTTTCCCACGCCCTGGCCTTTTAGGAACAGGGCCATGTCCCCTGAACTTCCCCTTTCCCCTTGAGGACAGCCAGGAGAAGGGGCAGGAGCTGGGATCTGAACCTGTGTCTGGGCCAGTCCTGTGGGGAAGACGGCACAGGGAAAGTGTTTGGCCAGTGGCCCCATTTTCTGGAAGAGAATGGTAGGGGCTCCCCTTCTTGTATTAATTCAACACAGGCTTTTAATGCCAGGCAGTGTGCTAGGCCTTCCAGTTAGTTTGCTAGGGGGGCTGCACGGGCGAAGCCTCACTTTGAGCTCAGCTGGAGCTGCTCTACCAGATGTCCCCTCTGCCTCCCTGAGGGCAGAGACAAGGTCCATCTCATGACTGACTCATTCCCCAGGACTCCTCATGGTGGTGCTTCTGAGGAAGTTATAGCTCATTCATTCATTCGGTAAATATCCAGCCCCGCTGACATACATTATCCAGTGGGGAGAAAGCACCAAAAAAAACCCTGTCCTCATGAGACCTGGTTTTTAGTGGGAGCTGAGCAGAGGTGCATGAAGGCTGGGTGCACACAGTGGCACCTAAGCCTTCCTTTTGACACAGCTACAGACACCTCAAGGTGCTCTGTGCATGCCCCTCCCTCTCCTCCCAGATAGGGATCCAGGGTTCCAACCAGGCCCCACTGCGGGGAAGGAAGGCAGAAAGAGTATCCACTGTTCCAATCTGTTTTATTGAAAAGGAAACATACAAAAATCATGTACAAAAAAAATTAACCAAACATGTACAGAAAATTCATTCCGTTATCTACAGCAGCGCATATACAGTATTTTACAAGCTGGGCCATCCCTCCCCGCTCCCAGACTCCTCCCTCTTCTGAGATTTCCCCCCCTCCCTGACTCCCCATCTTCCCCCCAGCGCTTCGCCCCGGGGACTAAGGCTGGGGCGGTTTCCGCCAAAATATCCCACCCCCCAAATGAATGCCAGTGGTCACACGTGCTCTTTCTAAACCTATGCAATGGGATTGATGGGGGTGGGGGGTGGTCGCGGGCAGAGCACAGGATTCACAGTCTGGGCCCCTCCTGGCCACCCCCAGATGAAGGTTAGGCAGGCATGTCCACCACCCGCCGGCTGGCTCAGGGAAGATGGCTGGGCGCTGGGCTGGGGCAGCCATCAGATGCACCCCACTCTCTGGCTCCAGGAGGCTAGTGGTCACGTTTGGCTCATTTGCTCTTCATGGGCCCCCTCCCCAGGAGGAGGGGGGGAAGCACCAGGGGCCTGAGGCCAGGCCCAAAGTGAAGGAGCACCGGGAGGGAAACTCCCCCCCTAGTGTCACCCCTGCAGCTGGAACGGGCAGCCAGCACCAGCAGCCTTTCCTGAGATGGTGGTGGGCGGCAGAGGCGGGTGGCTCAGTCCCCACCCCCTTGGTCACCGCCGCCTTCAGACGCTGAGTCCGTCAGCCCTCTCTCCCCTGGCTTCTCAGCCAGGGACCCAGGAGTCCACATCTCCATCAGTGCACCCCAGGCTGGGCCTGGGCTGGATCTGGAGTGTCTGTCCTGGCCCGCCCGTAGGACAGGCAGGGCTGGTAGTCCAGTATGCTACATGGTGCAGAAAAAGTTCCCCGCGCTGGCCAGGGCGTCAGGAAGTGGGAGGGTCCTGCCCCCCGTGTCCCCGACGTCCACCGGGCGGGTCCAGGCACCTAATTGGGCTCCACCTCTGGGGCTCCACGGCCCCTGGGTAAGGGCAGGAGTCCCATGATGAGATTGTACAGGACCCTCCACGGCGAGGGGCGGTGTCGCTGCTGCTCCTCTTGTCTCTAGGGGAAGAGAAAGAAGAGGAAGTTAGAGTGGGCTTGGGACAGGGGTGCAGAGGTGGCCAGGTTGAAGGGCAGTGAGGAGTGAGGCATGGTCCTAAGACTCAGCTAAGCCCTCGACCAACCCTCTGAGGCAGATGTCATTATTACTGCTAATCAGGTTCAAATCCCAGTTTCTCTGCCCACCCTGGGTCAATGTCACCTCATCTAGAACATGAGAAGGGGATGGAGAGGATATGGACAGGATGCCCTCAGCACAGTGCTTGCACATATTAGCTGTGATCTCCTATTTCCTGGTTTTCAGATGAGGTTACCCAACCAAAGGCACACTGGGCTGAGCGGTGGGGCTGGATGGCAACCCATCTGCCCTCCCATAAAAGGCTAATGAGACAGATAGAAAGGAGCAAGGAGCCCACAGTCTCAGTGATTCTAGAACAATGTATGGTAGAACTGGGAATGGTTCACCATCTGTGTGGAAGATGCATGGAAGGATGTCCAGGCAAAGCTAACCCCCTGCCCTCTCCCCAGTGGCAGGATGAAGGCTTGGGGTGCCCTCTAAGACCCTCTCAGTTCCAAAATGCCAGAAAAGTGGGAACGAAGGAAGTGAGATACAAGACTCCCCACTGATAAAAATGAAAGGCAATACTAAAAACTTGGGAATAGCTGTAGTACTCTCCGGCTCCCTGTACTGACTGCGTGGCCAGGTCCTGTGCTAATTTAATTAGCAGGGCCTGCCTAATCTCACCCCTACCAGAAGGGAAGGAGAAACCCATTTCACAGATGCAAACAAGGTCAGATAAACCAGACTACTGATCCTACTGGGTGCCTGCGGGTGGGCTGCCTGGTACCAGCATGCTTCCTCACCACTCCCCGCCGACTTTTGCAGTCAGGAGAAGATGGCCAAGGGGGCACATCAGATTGGCATAAATTTCAAAAGCCTGCCACCTTGCACTGCCATGGAGTGCCACTTGGCACTAGCCACCTTAGTGAGCAGACCAACAACCATTTAGCTAAGGCTGAGTTCTGGCAGACTACCCAGGTGTCTACTCTGGAGACACACGTATGCCCCTGGAGATGTGCATCGTTTGGAGAAGCACCCTAACCCCGCAAAAATAAAATAAAATAAAATAAAATTGGACACATTTTTGGAGAATCCTACATATCCATTAATGAGAAAATGAATAAGGATAGTCTACGTCGATCCAACAGAATGCTCCGTGGCAGTGAAAATGAATGAACTAAAGCTCCCTTGCCCATATGGCTGAATCTAAAGCATAACATAAAGGGGAAAAGTTTGGAAAGGAACACATACTGTATCGTGGATATTAAGTCCAAAAGCCCCATAACCCTAAGCATTTTTTC